CGGGTGAAAGGATGTAGCAGTAGATGGAGTCCATACTCCAAATGTTTCCAGTAGATCGGAGCCCTATCACCGCTATAATGATATACAACCTCCGATATCTCTGGCGAAGATAGAGTGAAGGCTTTAGAGAGGTTAAAGTGATCATAATAAGCTTTGAGATCCGTTGCACAGATCTTTGAGCGGAATAAGTGGAGGAGGTTGATCCTTATCTCGTTGTGGTCAGAAGTGGAGGTGAGGAAAACGATCGCAGTTCATCAGAGCTTTTGTTGGAAATCGTTCAACGCAGAGAGCTAGGTTTTTTAGGTTAGATGGAAAATAGCTTTGTAAAATAAGATCTTCTCTGAAATGGGCTATGTATAGGCTCGAACAGAGACACGTGTCAAAATTAGAAAGGTCGATTTAGTCAAGAATAGACAGCAAAGATCAACCTCGAAGGTCGAGCCACCCGTACTGGAAATGAAGCTCTACCCATTGATCAATACACCATTCATCTTGTAAATTGAAGTGACGACAGCACATCATATCCATTAACGTCAAAAGGTCACTTCAATAGCAACCCGTTGCTTTTTTCATAAATGTGCCTCGTGACTCACCGACCGGAAGTCGTTTAAACTTCCACCCATAGTCAGCCAGCCGAGTTCGAGTGGTAGGGTGGCAGTGTTATAAGCTGAAAGTTAACCAAGTATTAATCTCTACTGAGAAGCTGACACGCGTCCACCCCGATAATTTGCGTAGCCGACTAAAACGGTGGTACTTGTCGGCCTACCCCCCAGACCGATCCTATAAGCACCCCCACTCGGCCTATTGTCTCAGCCGATAACTTGCGTAGCCGACTAAAAAGGCTATGTTTGTCGACCTTCGGCCAAAAGACTAAAGAGACGGTATATCCTCAAACCCCCTGCCGACAACTAACTACTCTCGCATTAACTTCTCTGACAAAATCATCATTTCTCTAGCCTCTATAGTATTTATGACTCATTGGATCTAGTTAACCCCAAGCAACAACTGTCTTCCCTACAATAAATGACTGGATGACTTATCCGCGCTAGCGGCTGACACCTGCTAGCTGTTTACCAAGTCAGCTATTTGTCTGGACTCAACCCGAGTTACCTCTCTGCCCTTCTAAGCCACTATAAAACGAAGTCATGCAACTCAAGGTGGGGGCTGGTTTTTTACGCAACTTGATAATCTTCCTCATCATCCCAAAATTTCCACTCAAGTTCATATACTGACTTGATCGTCAGAGGAGCAACAAAAAAACTCAACTCCAACCTCTTACGAGTTCTTCATGCACAGGAAAAAATCAGCAGGCTCTCGGATCAGCCATCTAAAGAAGCTTGGAGACCCCCGTTTAACTCTAATCCTTGAACAAACCCCCAGTTCGATAACTAACATCAACACTACCCATACAAACTTTATCATAAAAGCCAAAACCAAAAAAAGCTAGCTTAAAAGCTTCTAAAAATAAGCCCCTTCAAACACCCTCTAACCTCAAAGATAATCTTCATGCTTTCATACGATCAATTATGTGACTAGTAAATTTATATTTGTAACCTAATCTTCTGTTTTAACACTGAACTAACGTCAATTATATTTAGGGTTAATTGTGGGCAGCCTCGGGTACTATTTAACTAGGTGGTAATTTGAGAGAGTCAAATTATCCCCATTCTTATCCTTTATTTCAATTTCATTGGTTGGGATGAAGCTATTTAGGATTCCAGTATCCTCTTGAAAACCACTAATAACTTTAAAATCACTAATTTGAAAAGTGCTATTGTGATAGCAGAAATCCTGCGTGGCTTCATCTTAGCACTTGAAATTAGAATAGAGGACAATGATTGTCTATGACGAGCGCGTTGAGGAAGCATTTCGCAGGCTTTCATCCTAATCCTAGTTGTAATCCTTACCTTTATCCTAACTAAGATAAAAAAAGAACTTCAAATCATGAAAAACCGACAACATTAACATGATGTCACATTTTAGGGTCATTTATGTAATTACAATTAGCAATTTCAAGATTACCATGTAGAGCCGCAGATTCTCTAGGATCATCCGCGTAATTACACTATTCTTCATGGTATCTAAATGTAATTAATTCTCGTTTTTAGGGTGTAAAATAGGGACACATGCAAATAGATTTACTAGATTATTGGGGTGGCATGAGAATTTCTGTATGATTCTTCGGATCATGGGTATCAAAGCCCTGGGCGTGGATAAGGGACACCCCAAACGCGTGACTTCGGGATTTCCAGGAAATTAAATTCATGTGGGTGCTTCTCAAGAGAGTCAAACATGAGATCTTAGTGTACTACTCATCGGCGGCTTACCAACACGGTTAGACCCTAAGGTAAATAGACCTACTAGATTAACTTTTAAGTGTTTTTTCCCTCAACGACATGCTAATCCGATCCGAACATCTTCTTAAAGCTAATTGGAGAGTGTAGTACTAAAGTCATTCAACTTAGATGACTAGTAAATTTTTTTTGTACCTAGATAACAATATGACCCATAAGCTTGACCAAATATGCCTAGATATCAACTACATCAATACAACATGTTACCAGCCTTCTCTCTTTTTTCTTTGTATTTCTCTTTTTCGCTCTTAAACAAAGACCAAAACCCGTCGTGAAACTATGAAACTTACATAAGCCCATACTAGGCCTTGCACCCCAAATATTTCTCCATTTTTCATCTTAGTCTTGTTAGGGAAAATACTATGACCCATTTCATCAAGCCGTATAAAAAACCTACTTGGAGGGCGGGGGCGTCGGTGGGGGAACAATAATGCGATGCAAATAACAGGAAAGAAAGAAATCCCTTCTCGGGGATCATAGCCATCTTCAAGGAGAATCATATCACACATATATAGCACAAAACACATCATTTCAGTCACCTACAGTTCTTCCCGAAGCCATTATTGACTTGATCAAAATCAATGTAAGCCAACATTATCTTGGCTTAAAAGAAAACAAAGATCATGACAGATATTCAATTTTCAAACAAGCATAACTGACATTAACAACTTGGTCAAAAGGTGCAAGATATCCACCCCAATCGCCGAATTGCTTGAGTCAAGCAAATTAATCTTTAAAAATAAATAAAAAATAAATAAAATAAAAACAACCGGTTCATAATCCTTGTAGATAGATGTAAGGTTCATTATTAATGAGCAATATTTGGGGGAAAAGCAAGCCTCCACTCGGCAGTTACAGATTTGTTATCAATGAGCTTGGTGGATCAGTCATCCCAGCTTGTCAACTACAAACAGTGAGAGAGCTAGAGACTCGCATCCAGTTGGCAGTTACAGATGGATTCCTGTTCCAACATATAAATTTGCATTAGAAAGAATTTAGTCTCACCTCACATTTTGAATTTATAACCTTTGATCCGTTACCGGTTAGCTGCCAAAAATGATAAAAAAAGTGTCAGAATTAATGATATTCTACACCATAGGTCGATCAAAGTTTCTCATATAGCAAGACTATTCAAGTACCAAACTAATTATAAAAGTAAGACTACTTTAACAAACACAAGAAGACTATAATTCATTACAACTTACAGATAATGAAACCCTTTTATTTGTGTGGAGCTGAAATTTGCTCGACTCGTAGCAGATTCACTTCAAAATCTGGTTGGATTTGGATCGGTTTCGATACTCAAATACGACTAAAGAAATCTAGAACTTTCCAAGCCAAAACCCATTTAGTTTTCAAAAAATGTGAACCTACACTCTTTTTTTTTTTTTCAGGCTGGGTTGCATCCGGCTCAGTCAAATACCCAAACTGTACTGACTGATTATTCTACTGACAATGGGAGAGAGGTAGGGTTAAATATCAGAACTTTTTCCTGAAAATTTCAATCACATATAATACTGAGCAGAAGGGAGAATTCTGTCATCCAAGTTGTTTACTCAGAAATTTCAGTCCCTATCCGAAAAAAGATAGATGCTAAGTAGGGCAAAAGACAAGTCATAAAGTAAACGCCTTAAATCGCCCTTTAAGTTTAACCATTGAATTTAATCATCCATCTAGATAAATAACTCCACCTTGATGATCGAAGATCTAGTTTAACTATGACTAGGTATTAGTAAAATCTGCATAAGACGTGAAAGCACTTTTATAAGTTGTGACTGCTGCCATGCAAGGCTCAGCAGGATTTGTCATATCTAGTCCACAAGAACATGAGCAGGAGGGAACTTAAGGGCTGTGATCACAGACATATAGGTTCCTAAGGTCAATTGCACTGGACGTGCTCTTACAAAAACCTGTGGTACACTGGCACACAATAACCACTAAGTGATACCTTAAAAAGTTACTTATGTCATTCCTAAATTGCATGTCGAAAATTTAGCTATAATTCCAATCAATACACCAAAAAGCACCGTCGCAAATATTATGTATAGATTGGGGGAAGCAATCTTCTTTTGGTAGATAAAGAAAATCAAAGGTGTGAAGTTAACATGAGTGCAAGCATCTCTCCACCTGTGGTATTTTAAAGTAAAAAAAGTGTTCCTATGACACCCCCAAAAAAAATAATAAATAAAAATCAAACACCTTGCTTATCATAATTGTCTTGCTGGTCATAAGGCCAAATCTAAAAAGCGGTGAAAGGCAAATAGCCTGCCATCTAGAGAGACTCTCTCCTCAAAATTTGAAGTAACAATATTTTACTAGTCAAATATAGAGCAAAGATAACAAAAGAGCAAGGAGAGCCCACAAGCCAGCACTAGGAGACTTCTTCCATGAAGTAATAAAAAGGCTAAAGGCAAAACCCTCAGGAAAACAGAATGATGCAAACAGATAAAAAAACATAATATTCTGTAATTAAAAATAAGCTACGTGATAAGACAATGAACAGTCATTAAATGGTTCAACTCTTTGGTTACACTTTACCATTTCATCATGGGAGAAAGTGTTCATTATAAATAAAAGCCATGCAAACGGAACTTATTACCACAGATCAATGTGGTGAAGGTTGTCAATCATAACAATTAAGGAACATTAACTTATATAAAAATCGTCCAGACAAAATTAACCATCCAACAACATATAAACAAAACATATAAAACATTAAAGGAAAATACAAGAGGAATTTCTTGACTTACCAATCAGGAGACTTGTTGATTTTCCAACTTTTCACTTCCAACCTCCTCTGTTCCACTAGAATGATCTGTTATCCTAACATCATCGTCAGTTAAGTTCGACTTATCATTACTGGACAATGTATAGCCATTATATCCAACATTAGCCATGCCGGTATATCCACCAAAACCTACATTAGCGTAGCCATAAGGAACGGGACTCCTCCTCGCACCCATCATTACTTGCCCATTCCAAGGGATTCTTCCATATGGTGCACCATAACTTATTCCACCATAAGGTAAATATCCACCACCGTATCCAGCTGCTCCATAAAAAAAACCTGGAACAGGCGGTGGTGCATATCCCGGATAAAACCCATATTTAGGGGTGTAAGATGGATAATAATCTCTTTGGTGACTATTACCAGCAAACCCTCTCCCACCATCCAAATTACCATCGGAGTCACTAAAGTTGGTTTGGTTATTGCTGCCCTTGGGCACTGCAAGTTTTACCTCCACATTCTTATTGTTCAACATGTGGAACTTCTTCTGCAGCACAGTATCTACAGCCTCCACTGAATCAAAAGTAATGAAACCAAAGCCTCTTGGCCGTTGAGTAGAACTATCGTACATAATCACAGCATCAACTATCTTGCCAAACTTCTCGAAGTAGGTCTTGAACTCATCATCTGTAATGTTAGAGGAGAGGCCACCTACAAAAATCTTCTTTAACTTGGCAGGATTTTCGTTGGTATAGTAACTGTTAGCAGCATTGTTGTTTAACCCACTATTTTCATGCTCGCTATGGAGTGAGTATTGGTACCGGGGGGATTGGTAATTCCGGCGTTGTTCACCTCTTGGTCTGGCTCTTTTCACGTCTACCTATAACATCATTCAAAAACAAAGGAATAGAAACAAAGGGTGGAATCAGTAATCTGTAACCATACAAGACAATTGGGAAATTTCTTCAAATAATATTTTAAGAAAAATGACGATAACAAGCTTTAATACTCTTTTTATGATGAAATGATCAACAAGTTGAGAAATCCCATGATAAATTAACATTCTCTTCACTTCTTACATTATCCGAACAATCAGGAAGCTTGTTTTTCAGCAAAAGAATAATGTAACCTTTTGGCTATTACAAGGTAATGATAGTTTTCAAAATTTATCATCTTTTAATTGGCAAGCAAGACAACAATCATACAGACGTCAGCTTTAGAACTTAGATATAAATATAGAAAAAACATTATAAAGGTCTGCAAAAACACGAATCAATAACACAGAGTTAGACGGCCATCAACTATAAGATTGAAAAAAAGAGCTTTCGAAAAATGTTTACTGACAATCAAGTAGCACCAAATGTCAAGGCAGTATTGTGTTCATTCAGATGAATATAAGCATAAAGAATATGAAGAATCACTTTTATCGCCAAGAAAGAGAAGAACCCAATAGATAATAGATGCAAATTACAAATTACAAAAAACAAGAAACACATAAGAGAGAACTTTAAATTTAATTCACAACCTCAAGAAATATTCAAAAGATGCAAAAAGAGCAAGGTTTGAGCAACTTTTACATTTTAATATCTTATATAAACGTTCATGAGCCTTATATATTGAGTAACTAATTTTTATTTCTTTTTTTTTTCTTCTTTTCTAATTTATATTTCTGAAAAATTTTCTTATTCTTATACTTCTGCCAATCTTAATAAGATGTTTCGTTTGGTAAACCAACCTAATAAACTTTTTCCTTCCCTCACCAACTCTCTTCACTAGAAGATATATTGTCCTAGATTATTCATGAATTTCTTTAGCCACCTTCTTCATGCAACAAGCATATTGTTTCACATAATATTAAACTCATCTTTTTCAAGTATCTACCTTCCACAATGTATCCTTAAAATGCACTGAATCTCTCATTCTAAGTCCTGTAATTAGTATTATCTATAAATCTATGTTGATACTAACCGTTGTCCTCCTTTTCTTAATGGCAATATCTACATCAACCTATATTGTGTCATCACATACGAGTTTACAAGTTTTGCGTGTTAAAATGCCTACCCTTTTAGTAAGGAAAAAGTCCATTTAACTATTGCCTAATTCACCTTTAAAGGTTATTAATTGCTCATCTTGTTTTCTAAAAAGTATGTATCTAACTATTGTCCCTTAGTAGCATTAGTAGCATGCAATGTAAATTATTAACTCCAATGTGTGTGAATATATAGTTGTATTCTCGTATTCAATCTATTACAAATTCAATGTAACCAATACTAGTAACCACACCCGTACTCATACACGTATAACATTGATGCATTCATTTTCTTATATATCGAAGTTTATATCCAGTATTTCAATTTCTCTAAAATTTTCACCTACCTATTTAGTTTTCGTAAACAAATTATATTAATCTTTCTTCTATGTATATACCTATATTAATCTTTCTTCTATGTATATACCAACTTCATCATCTTTCCTATAAGCGTATCTATATTCGACGTAGGTATCCTAATCTTACTCTCATAAGCATTCTACCTCTTTCTTTCCTAGGATCCCTCTCTAATTGTGGTCATTCATATTTGACACCATATTTGAGGACCAATGTGGCACAAAAAATTCTCAACACTTTTAATGTTATTATTTTGTGTGGAATTGACGTGAAATGTTGTTTTGAGAGATGTACTGTCATAATTTGCATCTGGGTGAGATCGATGCAAGTCATGAGTTCTAGGCTATTATCTACATTCTACTATTAACACAACCCTCATTTATCCTGATGTAAGACAGTCAGTGAAAGACACCATTCATGCATTTTACCACTTTGCATCAATCACTTTTATAAATTCTAAATAAAAGAAATGACACAATGGGAAGTATACATATCTTGCTAATCATAAAATACGGGTTCTTTCGGAATTAGTTCCCCAAACCTTTAATATTTTGAAATGAGTCCCAAAAATCTTGATATTTCGAAATTATTCCTTCAAATATTTAAGTGATTTGAAATTAGTCCCCGGCCACATCTTCATATTTTGGAATTAATTCCCAAAATATTTTAAATATTTTGAAATTAGGCCTTCTAGTTAGCATCTGGCTGAAAGACTTAGGGGTCTAATTTCAAAGCACTTAAAAGATTTGGGGGCTAATGGGGGCTAATACGAAGAAAACCCAAAAGATAGATCCTTTTAGTTGGTGTGAGTGTTCCTTTAAGCAAATTTGCAACTGATTAAAAACTTACTATAAACTATCATGATAAACAAATCATGCCCAGGGAATGAACAGTAGCCATTCTATTAAACTCCTTTATAACTCTAGTATCTCAAAACAACAAATTTCATAAAATAATAAAAAATAGTTTAAAAACAAAAAAAGATAACCCATGGCAAAGTCCAAAAAACTAGCTAATTCATAAGGAAACCACAGAAAAAGAACTAGCTTTTCCTTCATTTCTTCAAATCTATCAAACTAAAAATTAAAAAAACAAAACCTATAAGGCAACAAATTTAGCACAAAAACACAAAATCATAATTAGAAAAAAAAAATCTCACCCTGCGCTCGCCAATAGCATGCTCCTTCTCCTTGAGAGCCTTTTCGACCGAATCCGGGTCCAAAAACTCAACGAACCCAAAGCCTCTAACGTTACCAGTGACCCTATCCTTGACCACAACAACCTCCTTCACTTCCCCAAACTTGGTGAAGTAATCCTTAATCTCCTCCTCCTTAAAGCTCCCGTCAATCTCTCCAACGAACAACTTCGTCGACTCCGGCGAGAAATTGGGCGCAGAATTCGATGAGGAAGTCTCCATTGTCATCAATTCGAAACCCTAGAAACCCGAGAGGAGACGGTAAAATAGCCTAGGGTTTACAGAGAGAGTAAAGAAGTATGTTAGGGTTTTAGAGTTCTCGAAGGACGCTTGGGGAGATTAAGAGGCCAGATTGGACGGTGGATGAGGGGGGTCGAGGAATTTTGAGGGTAGATCTGGACCGTTGACTTGGAAAGCGCGTATTTAGAGAGGGTGTTAGAGATTCAGCCTTTCGGGTGACGGCGACCTGAGTTTTGGGAGTTTTTATTATTTCGTAGGGAGATAAGAGGTTTGAACTTGTGTTTGTTTATCTCGGATTTATTTTAAGATACCTTGGGTATTTTTTTTTTTTTTTTTTTTTAAAGAACTTGTGTTTGTTTATCTCGGATTTATTTTAAGATACCTTGGGTATTTTTTTTTTTTTTTTTTTTGAAAAGGATACCTTGGGTAATTAGGATTTGTCTTTATTTGTCTTTAAATATTTTTTTCCAGAGAAAATATGAAGTAGATTTAATTTTAGGCTAATCATTGACGTCGAAGTATAAACCTTGAATCGAAGTTCGTTTAATTCAAGTTGGGTCCAGAAAATGTAAAAGATCAATATAGGAAGCTTGACTCTGGATTTCAATACGCAAATGTGTCACAAATTATTGAAAATACAAAGAAGGGTTTTTTTTAATGGAAACCACCTAATAAATATGATGATTATATAGGAACCATCATACAACTTTTAATTTACACTAGAACTAACTAAAAAGTATGTTTTCAGCCCAAAATTCTATTGCCTTTTTTTCCAAATTTCCATTAGAGCTTTGCTACAGGGACCCAAAATATGGGACCAATAGAGGAGACAAGTGAGGTGTCCCCATCCTATTGGATAATGAGTTGGCCATCATTAATGATGACCAACTCATTATCCAATAGGAGGGGGACACCTCACGTGTCCCCTCTATTGGTCCCATATTTTGGGTCATTGGAGAATTTTTCTTTCCATTAATCCTCTTCATGATGACACGTGTCATGCATGTTTTCCAAAAAATAAAAAAAAAATATTTTCCCTTCAATCAACCACCACGCACAAAATTTGTTATTTTTGACCAAATTTTCATTAATACCCTTAATGAATGAGGCCACATGTCATGCATGTTTTTCCCAAAAAATCATTAATGGTTTTACCCAAAATTTGGTCAAAAAGTCAAAAAAAAAAAAAAGGCCCGGTGGGTGGTTGATTGAAGAGAAATCATACATTTTAGGTGATTTTCGTATAAATTAAAAATTGTAGGCGGTTTCTATATAATCACCAAATCTATTACGTGGTTTTCAGAAAAAATGTAGAAGGTTTGAAGTATTCCAACTTATTCATTAATTATTTTAACATAGAATAGATTGCGCATAACTCCCTCATCTATATTTTCGGTAGCCTTTACTACCACTCAGTTAATTTATTAACATATGTTCTCCTCAAATCGTAAGTGAAGGATATTATCTACAATTTAGCTTTCTAAAAATAACAATATAAAAATGTATAGTACTAATAAACTAGTTGAAAGGTGCTAGGTGCTACCAGATGTACAGAAAAAAGGGGATTATGTGCAAATTAGTTTTAATCTAGTAGGCTTGTCACTTGTGGCACTGGATATTAAAATAGGAAAAAGGTATTTACATGCATTATAATAATCCTTTTGTCTTCAACCAATATATAAAATAATAAAGGGAAATTACACTAGCCCCCTAAGAACGTTTCATATTTTGCAATAAAAGGCTAAGTTTCAAAATCGCACTAAACCTCCAGTAACTTTTAGAGTTATAGAAAACCCTCAATAAGTTTTTGCATTTTACAGATAACCCTCACAAATTAGAGTAAAAAATAATATAAAAAGAAATTTTGAAGGACAATTTTAGTAAAAAAGGGTTCGGGCGTCAACTTAGCTACGAGCAAGAGTAAAATGAATGCTAATGAGGGGTGTTTGTTTCAACTTTTTTTTTTGGGATATAGGATGGATTACAAATTTTAGGATGAAAAAGTGGGTTCTTTTGAGTTTATTGATTCCATAACCTTTGTTTGATTCAAAATAAATTTTGGAATATTGAATACCCAAATAATAAAAAACTAATACATTATAGCATTTGTGAAATCCCCTCTTTGAGAGAGGATTTAGGCTAAATTTCAAATTCTAAAATTTGTAATGCTACAATTTGAGTTTGAAACAAACAAAATATAAATTATAAAATTACATATCCTAAAATATTGATGAAACAAACAATATTTTTGAGAAATCCCAACCCATGTTAAAAAACCTATGAATTTCAAATCCCATGGTGAAATCCATATCCTAAAATTATAGGATTTAAAACAAACACCACCTACGACAAGTGATTTATGTTTTTAGTGCTGAACACATAGAAAAGTCATAAAGGGATCTTTAAAATAATTTAAGGGACATTATTGTCTTTTTAAGCCACGTATGTTGCACATGCCACATCAGATGTACCTATGTTCATTTTAGGAATTTTTGCAAAAATTAGTGGGGTTGTAGTGCGATTTTGATAGTTGTTGGGGTTTTGCTGCAAAACTCTGAAAGCTCTTGAAGGTTAGTACAATTTACCCAAATAATAATAATAATAATAATAATAATAATAATAATAATAATAACTACAATATTTGATCCCTATGCTTACTGCTGCTAGTACAGAATTTCACATGGCATCAATGGCAGTGGACATAAAAGCCTTTAGTTTCCTCATAAATGCACCCCCTTTTTCCTCTGCAAAGTTTGGTGCTCGGTGCGCATTATCACCGAGCAATCCGCATAGCTCTATAGCTATGGGGTTCTAGCGAAGAACAGAAAGGTACAAGTTGTAGAATGGTGTTGGAGCTTGAAAGTGGTCAAACTTGGGCCTCAAAACTTTTGGAACCGAAGCCCACTAACCGTTGGACGTTGTACCTGCTCTCAGCCGTTCAACGTGTCTTTGGGTAAAAGCTGAAACATTATTGTGGATTTTAAACACACATTGGAATTTTTGAAAATAACAATTTCATTCACGCGCACACTATTACAAGCATTTTAAGGATTAAATGGTCTGGGCCCGCTTGTCCCCTTCAGCCCCGATGTCCACCCCGACTAATAGATGGCTGCAGAAGTAGTTAACAAGAGCTGATGGTCAGCATGAAGCTATCTTTCTTGATGAGATTGTTACTCTAGAAAGACTCAATTGAAGTTGCCGCCGCCAGAGTGATTTCGTTGTAGGGGTTAGAAGGGGAGAAAAACGTGAAGCAAACCTATTGGAGATCTAATATGTTAAATTGATTAATTTCTAAATTACTGTGAATTACCATATTTTATTAGTGGTTAGGGGTTGTTTGTTTCCTTGCATTTCGCAACTTTGCATTGAAAAACGGGCCATACAAGATCAAAATCTTGAATTTTAACTAAATACATTAGTTGGTTTGTATTTTTTTTACTATAAAAATGGCGTTGCCACGTAGGATTAATGCATTAATTCTAATGCCCTAAAAATATATTAATTTCATTCTGATTTTTACTGAGGCTTATCTAAAAAGGAAAAAAGAGTGGTGCTATACTATATTATCCTCAACAAATTCATGTTTAACCAAACGAGAATTTTTTGCCTAGATTTGTCATTCATCAAATCCTCTTCAATATGCATGCAAATAAAAAAATTATGAATATGGATATGTGTTGGAGGTTGAGTTAGGGGTGCATTCGGTCCGGATATGGCTCGGATATGATACTTTCCATATTCATATCCACTTGCCCATCTCGGATACGGATACAGATACAGATATACATGCGGATATATAAGCGGATATGCATGAGGATACAAAACAGATATCAGAAAACTGATAGTATTGAACAAAATATGGTTCATATGATACGAAAGAGTTCTGTTGATGTTAAATAACCAAACAGTCAAATATATGAGGGTGAGATTGATATGGGGCCGCTCACTTCTCTGAATATCTGGTTTTGAGCTGAGTAGCTTCAGCCTACACAAATAGAAATTCGTGAGAGGACGGAGCTTAGTTCCCCCGCTGTACCTCCGACGATCAAGTCAGCTGATGAACTTGAGTAGGAAAATAAAGAACTGTGTGAGTTCTTTAGTATAGTACAGTATAATTATCAGATATTGCTTGGAAAAATAGCCTGACCATAGCTTGGCAAAAAAACATCCTTTGGAAAAAAAATCTTCTCTATGTTGAGAATAGTACCTCTATTAATAGTGGTGTTGAAAGGGTAGAACCGTCACTTCGAACGAGCACATGATGGAGGTAATAAGCATGGGTTGGTGGTTACGTCAACACCTACTTTACACGTGCACATCGGCGAGTGGAGGAGAGATAACCTCAGTATTAAATAAGAAGTGATTGGAGGAAATGAGGGTGCTAACGGGGTCCAATGAGTCATGAAGACTATTGGGGCTAAAAGTATGATGCGGCTGCTAAGTAATAAATGTGACGCTGACGTGCTGTCAGCGGGAGAGGCTCGAGGTTGAAGTCGTCCTTAAGCTTGGCCGAGAAGTAACTCTTTTCGAGTCGACCTTGCGAGGCGTCGAATAATTGGTCGAGTGAGCTCTTAGCAAGTCATCTTTGACGAGAGAACCGACAAGTACCGGCCTTTGAGTCTATCTAAGGAGATGTCGACGCGGCGAGTTGACTATATCGAGATCCTTAGTGGTTTTGACTGTCAATCTGGTTTGAGCGATGCATGTAGGGGAACACCTGTCCGTTGCTGGCAAAATGCCATACTTTGGCGACTGAAAGCACCATAACAAGTTCATTAGTATATATCCCATCGGTTAGATATTTGAGTAACCATATTCGCAGCCTAACGGATACGGTTATGGATATTTCCTCGGATAGGGATACGATTTAACACCCATAGGTGGAGTAATATAGGGAATTTTTTGTTAAATTTGATTACAAATTCCTATGTGATGGGGGTTTGAGATCAGATATTATTGTATGGCATGTACTGTTGGATTTAAATCTAATTAAATCTAATTATGAGCACATATGTTTTATCAGTGTGTATTGCTATCCTTAAGAATAACCCGCATAAGGTGATCAATTAATTTGGGTTAATGGGTATTTAAATAAATCATGGGTTAAATGTGCATATACCAGGTTGTATTTATAATTTGATGAGGGGCCAAATTATAAATATATAACACACATATATATGGGGTTATGGTCCCTAATCTAGGATTAACAAACTCAATTCT